CCGTTTGTGATGACTTGTGGGATTCAACTGATGCTGGTGTTGTATGTAGACAGCTGGGATATGGTTCAGGTAAGGAAAGGTTTATAGGACAATTGGAGTGTGATTGTCCCAACATAGGAACTGCATTTGGTAGTGCCTACTTTGGACAAGGAAATGGATCAATTTTGTTGGACAATGTCCAGTGTGTTGGAAGTGAATCTTACCTTACAAACTGTACACACATTACAAATCACAACTGTGGTCACTCTGAAGATGCAGGAGTCAGATGTGCTTGTAAGTTATGATGTGTACAAGCAGGGTTTGCAACAGTATTTTGCACAGTGATCATGCATGCTCTATTTAATAAATTGTATAGTTGATCAAAAAATCAAACTATCATATATTCTATACCAAGTATTTTTAAAACTTGCTTTGAGATTATTTTTTGTTTTCTAATACACATTCATTATTCTTGTACTGTTGAGCTTATTCCAATAATAATTAATTTTATAAAGTTTTAAAAATAATGTGGGCCAATGTCCCTGTAGCACATGTAAAGCACAGAAAAATGACTAAGAGAGAATTTTCCATTTTGATATATTTGGATACATATGCATGTTTTTATGTTGTATAGTAAGTTTGTGCTGATGGTGAAAAATATTAATTTTATGATCTATTAAAATTACTGAAACTCCCGGCCAAAGCCCCTGTACTGTAGTAGCAGGACTCAAGTCAAGTTTCACAAAGATTAAAGTAGAGAAAATTCTTCATTTGTACAATTTTTCTGATACATATATATGTTTTTATGTTTTGTAGAAAGTATGAACTAATTCTGATCATATTTCGATTTTTTTACGAATGTTTGAATTTGCTTAAAATTGGGCCAATTCCATGTACTATAGTACATCCTCGGTTGTTGCTAAATTTTGCCAATAAAGACTATTATTTATTTTTATAAATTTACCTGTTGTTTTTATGTTGTGTAGCATATTTGATCATACTTGGATTTTTCACTAAAAATGTGTAAAGTTGCTCAAATTGGGCTGAAGTATAACACAGGTTTTTATTTAGGTCAAATTTAACTAAAATTAATGACTAGAAATAAATTTTCCATTTTCATAATTTTTTAGCTATATACATGTAAATAGATGTTCTTATGGTGTAATTGGTGTTTAGCAAGTTTGAGCTGATTCAGTTCTTAATTATAAATTTATAAAGTGGAATAAAAACAATTCCATCTTCAATGTATTGTACAGGGTCTTAGGCCAAGTTTGCCAAAATGACTAAGAGTGAACTATCACTTTTATAAACATATACTGTACATGTTATTATGTTATGTAGCAAATTTGAGATAATTCCAGTCAAAAATTGGATTTTCAAAAATTTTAAACTTTCCTGCAAAAGCTATTACATAGTGCTTGTCAGTCAATTAAGTATAGTTTCATCAAACTTTAGAAAATTCTTTGTACAAATGTACAGTTTTACTAATACTTATTCCTTTAAAATTGTTTACTGATATACATTGTATTAAGTTATTATTGAAACTATTTATGATGACAAA